TACACATATAACGCTCGGTGGTAGTAGTATAGAATTATCAGATAAGTTTTTGTTTTTTTTTGTTTCTTTTCCTCCCCCATTAGTTAAATTTTCATTTGGTATTTCTGTGTTTGTAGTGTTTTCTGTGTATTCCCAAGTAACAATCTAAATGCTTGGAAGATTTATTCTTATTTTATCATTGTTTTATCATAGCATCCCTTCCAGCCTGTGGTTGTATTACGGTTTTGTGTGCTTGTCATAAAATCAGGCCGTCAAATTGTCTATAAAACTGTTTTATGACTACTAAATTAAAACTCAGACTTCATAGTTTTAACGGTAGCTGTAAGGTGGTTCTGCATCACTACATATAACTGAAGAATAAAACCAAAACAAAACATACAATTATGTTTTATGGTACACTTTTTATGACCGATATAAAACTTGAAGCAGTCTTAGACCTTCATTAAAGCTTCATTACAACTATCATCTTTATCAGAGGCCTAAGATTCACAGATAAGAAATATACTGCTACAACAAAAAATACTCTGAAATTTTTTGTCATTATAAAAAACAAATCTATTCAGATATATGAAATGAAAACCCCTTCAGTGCTTCTGAACACGATGAAGATGAGACGATCGACAATATGAAACTCCTGGAGGAACTACAGTTATACGATCCCTACATAAGGCACAGTGCGGTGAAGGAGCTCTTAAAAATATTGAACAAGCGGCTTTCCGATACACTTCCGAAAGATCCACGAACCCTTCTTAAAGCAACGCCGACAGTTTCACTAAATCCGTTTGGAGATGGCCAGTAGTGACATCACGGCTTTAAACCTTGTATTGAAAAAGCTTTTAGTGGATCCAATAAGCATTTCTTACATCTTGTTTACAAGCGAAAATAGGAGGATCGCTTGGAATGTTGACTTTTTGACAGGTGGTCATGGTTTTTGTTTTGTTTTGATTCGCTGTACCGAATAAAACCAGCAAGCTAGTTATATAGCTTAAATATAACTTAACGCTCTCAATTTGGACTACGAAATGCTAAGATACAACCATTAGGTTTATGTTATGCTATAGAATTCCAATCTAGGAGAATATGTTATATTGAGGTATTTTTAAGGAGTAGCAAGTTATAACGAAAAAAAATGTCGCCGTATGAACAAATTTCACACAGTATGAATAATTACGCTTTAATTGATAGGCAATAAAACACTTTCATACATCTATGTATAATTAAATAATATGTGACTGGTTATTGCTCAACAGTAGTAACAGTTTTGTACTAAATAGATAATCTTTGAATGACTCTTTAATGCATGGTGCTAATGCAGACAAATTAAAAATATCCCTATATTTAAGTATTCACATGGCGCACTAAATTTATGCTCCTATTTGGTATAATAATCACCATAAATATTGCACGGCATGCTGTGAAGCATATACAGATTGGTTTAAAATTATAATAAAGTCGTCTTATTTTCAATGTACAATAATATCAGCCATTATTACCAACTGACAAGGATCATGATTTCACATCAAACATCGAAAGAATAAAACCACAATAAAATATTTCTCAATATTAACTATCATCCAAAAACCCCAACTTAAAACCTTCAAAGTTGTCAAAATGTTTTGCGTATCATGTTTTATCAACTTCTTCAGGAGCGATTTATGCGGTTGTAATATAGTTTTATGGTAGTCATTAGAAGGCTGTTAAAACTTTCTGACCTGGAGGAGGTTTTATGTTTTCATTTTTAACAATCACGTCTAGAGTGTGATAAAACTGACATAAATCCTATGCTCCTAAAGTAGTTCGCGTATCAAGTTTTAATGACTGCATTAAAACTGGGCCAATTGGCCATGACATGGCTGTATTGCGGTTCTCAGGAGATTGTTAAAGCAATGTGGTCGTCAGTGAAGGTTTTATAATTTGGTTATATCAACTGCTATAAAACTTAAATAAAACAAAAATTGTTGCTTGGGTTGTGTCTGTGCGTTCAGTGGGAGAGCGTTTTGCGCTCCCACTAGTTGAACAAAATGGATGTTTTGTCAGAAGACGACATGGATGACCATTCATCTCAGAATAATGATGATGTCATCCCTGGTTCGTCGTCTCAGTCTGTCAATGGGCAGGATGAGAAAAGCACCAGATTGCGGGCCTACCCGAATGACTCGACTGGCCCATGGGTTGTCTATTTTCAGCCCAAAAACAAACCCTTGAATGTTGTTCAGATATCTGATGATCTGACAAAGCGATTCTCTGCCGTGACCGAAATAACGAAGGTTAGGCACAACAAACTTCGTGTGACCGTCGCTAACCTGAAACAGGCCAATGAAATTGCTGTTTCCCAGTTTTTCACACTGGAATATAGGGTGTACATTCCAGCTTCTGATGTGGAGATCGAAGGCGTGGTCACTGAGGCGAGCCTGAACCCCGAGATACTGGAGAAGCAAGCGGTTGGCCGATTCAAGAACCCCTTGCTTCCTCCGGTAAAGATACTGGCCGTTCATAGAATGAAGTCAGTATCGCTCAGCGAGGGTAAAAAGAGTTTTACCCCCACAGACTCGTTTCGGGTGACCTTTTCTGGATCTGCTCTTCCTCAATACATCGAGCTGGGAAAACTTCGACTTCCTGTGCGGTTGTTTGTACCTCGGGTCATGAACTGCCAGAATTGTAAGCGGTTGGGACATACGGCCTCCCACTGCGGCAACAAGGCACGCTGCTCCACATGCGGGGAGAAGCATGAGGATGGCGCCTGCGCAGCTACTGCACCAAAATGCGTGTACTGCAATGGAACTCCTCCTCATGCTCTCTCGTCGTGCCCGGCGTACAAACAGCTCGGGGACAAAATGAAACGCTCCCTTAAGGAACGTTCCAGGCGGTCTTTTGCAGAAATGCTTAAGACAGCCACGCCATCGACCACTGACAAAAATCCCTTTTCTCTTTTGTCAGATGACGAGACTGACTCTGACTTGGCTGAAGAGGGAACTTCTTTCAGTTTTCCGGAAGGTTCTGCACGGAAACGAAAGCGCATCCGTTCGCGGATTGCTGCAAATAAAGAACCCCAAATCAGCTTGCCCAAATCAACGAGTGCACAGTGGTTTAAAAGTGCAAATTCGTGAACTTAATTGTTTTCTGAGATGTACGTACGTTTAAGCATTAAGGTGTCTTCAGAAGATTTTCATACTTCTGGATTCGGCACCTTTTGGAATGGTCACCTTAATTTTTCTTAAGGTGCAACTGCACTTCAAAAAACTAACTTTTTTATATTAACAGATATCGAGATGATGTCTTGTACAAATTTGTAGGGCTTTCAATTTCAAGAAACTTTGCTCAAGACATCAAGTTGCCATGACTTCATTGTATGAAGATATAAGAGATTATTTGCCAGTTGCACCTTAAAATCAGTTGTTTGAGTTTTTCTATGTCTTATTCACGTTGTATCTCTTTGGTGTTTTCTGCAAAGTTTTAGATAATATTTGAACACACAACTTTTCTCAAGACACTAAAGTGCTATGATTTGATTGGCGGGAGATACAGTGATTTTTAAGCAAAAAATTACCCTTTTTCAAAAAGCTATAACTAAGCTGGCCGCAAATTGCCGCACTTGCAACAAGTTTCATTTGAAAGCTCAGAATTTGTACTTGAAATGTTGTGGAGATCATTAGTATCCGTTAGTATCCTGGAAACTGTGGTGGATTTTAGTAAACAAAGATTTAAGATTTTTGTATGGGGCTATTCAAGTAAAAACGATATTTTGCTATCTAACAATGGTCTCGATTTTTTTTGTTTAATTTCTAGTTTATTTTTTATTATTCTAAAGTAACTTAAAAGTAAAATAACATGTAAGATTAATCCAAACATAACACCGAATTTAAAAGTGATGTTTTTAATACAAAAAGATTTTGACATCCTCTCTTACACAATGGACCCTTTGATATCGAGCTAGGGAGATTCGACTGTAATTTGTTTTTAAGGAGGAAAAATGATCAAAGCAAACTATATATTTTATTTGAAAAAAAAATACAGTTTGTCGGCTGCTGTCGTAAGACCTGTTACTGCATTTCAAGTACCAAGAGAAGATCAGAACATCGTTTTCAAGAAACATCCATCGAAAATGTCCAACTATTCATCAGGTATTGATTTTAATCTTCGTAAAACTTATTGAAAATTGTGAAACATTGAAGGAACATGCTAACTTTTTTGTTCAGTTAAAATTGATAAGCGTAAGTTGCTGCAACTCTGGAAGGAAACCCAAGGAAGTGAAATTGAAAAAGTTCGAAAAATGAGTCAAGAAGTGTATAAAGCGTACAACATTGACGAGTCCGATTTAAATAGAGATGATGTGGAGAAGGCTCTGTTACCGATTGGCAAATATTTTAAAAAGCTTTATCGCAAGTTCCACCGATCCGAGACAAAAATGATCAAATGCAATATCCGCTACTTCGAAAAACCCTTCAATCTTCCCACTCTCTTGCTCTCTGAACTTCCTTCCACAAGCCGAGGTAGAACAACGATACCTTTCCGAGATAGTTCTGATGCTGTAAAACCGAAAGACTGCGTATCTAAGACGGGGTCATTCCGTTAGCAACTTGACTTACGCTACTCAAATGAAGTTGCGTGAAGGTGGATCCGTAGATGCGGCAAAAGTAGTGAAGGAAGCAACAATGACAACCCCTACCCGAGCATCAAAGATACTTGTTTCGTGGAGAAATTCTCAGGAGAAGCAGCCCTTACAATATTCTGACCTGGAAGCACCAGCAATGATCATAGATGCCAACTTGACCAAGTCACAATACCTCAAAATCCAAGGAGAAGCAAAACTGAGAAACGTGAATATTTACCCGTCGTACAACAAAATTGTCAATGCCAAGAAACAGTGCTATCCGGAAGATAAATTTATTATGGTTGATGAAAAAAATGCCGAAGTAAATCTTCAAAAGCTTTTGAACCATACCTCAAGTAGGATTGTTTTGGCAAACAAGGAGCATCTTGAAGATTTTTTAGATGACGAGCTCAAGCAGGTTGTACCTTTTTTATTTTCATTATAGAGACTTTGAACCAATAATTTATTTTCCTCAGGTTGTACTTTTGGTAAAATGGGGATTCGATGGCAGCAGCGGACATGCGGAATACAAACAAAAATTTGAGAATGACGACGGAGAATCTAGTGATTCAAATATGTTTATTACTTCCTTAGTTCCTATTAAGGCAGATGTAAACGGAAAAGTTTTGTTCCAAAATCCCCGACCATCATCAACCCGATTCTGTAGACCTGTGAGGATTCAGCTCGTGAGTGAAACTACGGAAGTATCAATCAACGAGAAGAAACATATAGAGAATCAGATTGACCAGCTTGTTCCAACAGTAATTACGGTAGAAGGCCGTACCATTATTGTGCGCTATGAGATGGTTTTGACAATGGTAGACGGAAAGGTCTGCAATGCTGTTACGGGCAACAAATCGTCACAAACTTGCTATATTTGTAATGCAACCCCGAAATTGATGAACAATCTTGATTCAGTAACTGAACGCGTGGAGAACAGCGATGCTTTCCAGTTTGGGCTTTCAACTTTGCATGCCTGGATCCGGTGAGATTTATTAAAATTAAGTGTTTAGTATTATGGTTTGATACAATATCAATATTTTATAGCTTTATGGAATACTTTCTTCACTTGTCTTACCGACTTGAAATTAAAAAATGGCAGGTAAGAGGACAGAATGTTCAAGCCATGAAGATTAGAAAGAATCAAATCCAAAAACGGTTCAAAGTGGAAACTGGCCTGATTGTTGACAAGCCTAAGCCTGGAGGATCTGGAACGTCCAACGACGGCAATACTGCCCGACGTTTCTTTTCCGATCCCAAGAAAACAGCTGCAATAACTGGACTGGATGTGACAGCACTGGAACGATGTGGTACCATATTACAGGTAATAAAATGGAATACTGAAAAACCAGATGCACATACAAACAATACAATATTCTTAGGTATTAGCGTCAGGGCACAAAATCAACACGGAACGGTTTTCTAGTTATTGCATTGAAACAGCAAAGTATCTAGTGGACCTATACCCCTGGTACTACATGCCAGCTTCAGTGCATAAAATCCTGATTCATGGTGCCCAGGTCATCAATCATTTCACGGTTCCTATCGGACAGCTTTCCGAAGAAGCACAGGAATCGAGGAATAAAGACCTCAAACGATACCGCCGAGACCACACTAGAAAATGTTCCAGAACGATCTTGAATCTTGATTTGATTCGCCGTTTGCTAGTGTCTTCAGATCCACTAATCTCAAGCATGCGGAAAAGCCCCAAAAAGGAGACAAAAAATTTGTCTCAAGACGCAAAGTTCTTGTTGAGCTTAGATGATGGAGAAGAAATGGATTCGGAGGATGAACATGATGTTTCAGATGATTTTGAAGTTTAATTTGTTTATCAGAAATTTTTAATTGTTACTTTGGTTTTATGTTTGGATTAGTTTAACATGTTATTTTACTTTTAAGTTACTTTAGAATAATAAAAAACAAACTAGAAATTAAACAAAAAAAAATCGAGACCATTGTTAGATAGCAAAATATCGTTTTTACTTGAATAGCCCCATACAAAAATCTTAAATCTTTGTTTACTAAAATCCACCACAGTTTCCAGGATACTAACGGATACTAATGATCTCCACAACATTTCAAGTACAAATTCTGAGCTTTCAAATGAAACTTGTTGCAAGTGCGGCAATTTGCGGCCAGCTTAGTTATAGCTTTTTGAAAAAGGGTGATTTTTTGCTTAAAAATCACTGTATCTCCCGCCAATCAAATCATAGCACTTTAGTGTCTTGAGAAAAGTTGTGTGTTTAAATATTATCTAAAACTTTGCAGAAAACACCAAAGAGATACAACGTGAATAAGACATAGAAAAACTCAAACAACTGATTTTAAGGTGCAACTGGCAAATAATCTCTTATATCTTCATACAATGAAGTCATGGCAACTTGATGTCTTGAGCAAAGTTTCTGGAAATTGAAAGCCCTACAAGTTTGTACAAGACATCATCTCGATATCTGTTAATATAAAAAAGTTAGTTTTTTGAAGTGCAGTTGCACCTTAAGAAAAATTAAGGTGACCATTCCAAAAGGTGCGGAATCCAGAACTATGAAAATCTTCTGAAGACACCTTAATGCTAAAACGTACGTACATCTCAGAAAACAATTAAGTTCACGAATTTGCACTTTTAAACCACTGTGGAGTGGTGGAAAAAAGGAGACTTCAACTCCTCCTGGATTCCGCAGAACTGACTATACCCAGGATTTTCCACCTCTTCCGGGGACATCCAAAACCCCTGATGCCCCAATTTTAAGAACAGAACCCCTTCTTCATCTGGACTGTTCTCATTTGATGACATTGTGGACGGTATTCTCAAATACCTCAACATTTCTGATCCTCTGAAAACCATTGTCCTCACATTGCTTCCGACTGTGAAATACTTCTTGAAGCAATTGACTTCAAAATGTCCCCTTCTTGCAGCTATCATCTCCTTCGATGGATAATTTTCCAAACGAGGTCGGGGATTTGATCACTGTTCTACAGTGGAATTGTCGAAGTCTTATTCCGAAATTAAATTCGTTCAAGTATTTAGTCCATAACAATAATTGTGATGCATTTGCCCTCTGTGAAACATGGCTCTCTTCAGAAATTGATCTCCCTTTTTATGATTTTAACATCATTAGATTGGATCGTGAGGATTCACGTGGAGGAGGGGTACTTTTGGGGATCAAAAAGTGCCATTCCTTCTATAGAGTGAATCTTCCCGAATCCCCCGGTATTGAAGTTGTCGCATGTCAGGCTACCATTAAAGGTAAGAGCCTTTGTATTGCTTCTGTATATATTGCTCCTAGAGTCTCTGTTAATCGCAAACAACTTTTCGACATATGTGCGGTACTTCCCACTCCATGGTTGATCATGGGAGATTTTAACTTCCACGGTACAGGCTGGGGGGAGCTGTACGATGATAACCGTTCTACTTTGATTTATGATCTCTGCGACAACTTCAACATGACAATACTTAACAATGGAGAAGTAACACGTTTGGCTGGTCCATCCTCGAATGGTAGCAGATTAGACCTCACCTTTTGCTCCAATTCACTATCGTTGGATTGCACTTGGCATTTAATCCAGGATCCGCACGGTAGTGATCATTTGCCGATCAAAATTTCGATTGCCAGTGGGTTCAACTCGTCAGAATCCGTTAACGTCGCGTATGATCTAACCCGTAACATCGATTGGACTAAGTTCCAATCCGCGATAGACGATACAGTATCGTCAGTGGAAGAGCTTCCGCCGTTGGAGGAATATAATTTCCTCTCTAATCTCATCGTCGACAGCGCACTTCAAGCTCAAACACGACCGGTGCCGCGATCGTCAATCCGTAAGAAAACACCATCGCTCTGGTGGGATCAACAATGCACGGAGGTTTACCGTAAAAAGTCCGACGCGTTTAAACTTTTTCGGAAACGCGGAACACGCGAGCATTTCGACGCATACACATCTCTTGAACGCGAACTCAAGAGCCTCATCAAGGCCAAAAAACGGGGTTACTGGCGGCAGTTTGTAGACGGATTGTCGCGCGAAACGTCTATGAATACGCTTTGGAGTACGGCGCGAAGAATGCGTAACCGGTCTACTAACAACGAAAGCGAGGAATGCTCGGATCAATGGATTCTTAAATTCGCGCGAAAAGTGTGTCCGGAATCCTTGCCGTCGCAGTTGATTCCTCGAGAAACCGCGAATTCGGTAGACGAAATCAGTCAGCCTTTTTCAATGGTCGAACTTTCACTCGCTCTCCTTTCGTGTGGCAATTCTGCCCCGGAATCAAGTTCAACTTGCTGAAAAACCTCCCAGACGTCGCTAAGAGGCGCATGTTGAACTTGTACAATCAGTTCTTGGAGCTCAATATTGTTCCCGACGATTGGAGACGAGTAAGGGTGATAGCCATTAAAAAGCCTGATAAACCCGCGTCGGATCACAATTCGTATCGGCCCATCGCGATGCTGTCGTGTATTCGGAAATTGATGGAGAAAATGATCCTTTTTCGCCTCGACAAATGGGTTGAGACGAACCACCTTCTTTCAGATACTCAATTTGGTTTCCGTAGGGGTAAGGGAACGAACGACTGTCTCGCGTTGCTTTCCTCGGAAATTCAGTTAGCTTTTGCTAAGAAAGAGCAAATGGCTTCTGTGTTCTTGGATATCAAGGGGGCTTTTGATTCAGTATCCGTTGAAGTTCTTTCAGAGAAACTCCACGCTTGTGGATTGTCTCCATTAATGAATAATTTTTTGTACAATTTGCTGTCAGAAAAACATATGAGCTTTTCTCATGGAAACTCTACAGCTTTTCGATTTAGCTACATGGGTCTCCCCCAAGGCTCATGTTTAAGCCCCCTTTTGTACAATTTCTACGTTAGAGAAATTGACAATTGTCTTAGTGACAATTGCACGTTGAGACAACTTGCAGATGATGGCGTAGTGTCTATCACAGGGCCAAAAGAGGTTGACCTGCAAGGACCCTTACAGGATACCTTAGACAATTTGTCTACTTGGGCTATCCAGCTAGGTATCGAATTCTCCACGGAGAAAACTGAGTTGGTCGTTTTTTCTAGGAAGCATAGCCCAGCACAACCGAAGCTTCAACTTTTGGGTAAACCGATCACTCATTCCATGTCTTTTAAATATCTCGGGGTCTGGTTCGATTCCAAATGCACCTGGAGATCCCACATTGAGTATCTGAGACGAAAATGCCAACTAAGGATCAATTTTCTTCGATCAATTACCGGAACGTGGTGGGGAGCCCATCCACAAGATCTTCTGACGTTGTACCGGACAACGATTTTATCGGTTCTAGAATATGGTAGTTTTTGTTTCCAGTCGGCAGCTAAAACGCACATCATCAAGCTGGAACGGATCCAGTATCGTTGTCTTCGTATCGCGTTAGGATGCATGCACTCGACTCATACAATGAGTCTCAAAGTGCTGGCGGGCATGTTGCCACTATCCGTCCGTTTTTCAGAGTTATCTCTGAGGCTCCTCACCCGTTGCGAAGTAATGAACCCACTGGTGATCGAAAACTTTGAGAAGCTTCTGGAGCTAAATCCTCAAACATTTTTTTTTTTTTTTTTTTTAACTCTTTATTTGTTCCAAATTCAAAATAAATTACATTTCATTTTTAACCTAGGTGCTCCAGTTACTACAGTAACTTACCAGCCTTAATTGTTATGATATATATCTAAGTGTTTTTACATTGTTCCTGTCTTGGCAATTCAGTATTTTAAACAGGTTTTTTAAACCTGCATGACAGTATAACAATTGATAGCTTAAAACTAAATAACTAAAACTAAATCTTATCTAAGTATAAAGGGAATTAATCGTTGCAATTGAGGATTGTAACGATTTTTGCCGGAAATTATTAATTATTTTGTTGGACATTTGTGCTAAAGTCTCAACATTCGAAATTCTATGTACTTCGGTAGTACTGTACCAGGGAGGCAACTTCAAAATCATCTTCAGAATTTTGTTCTGAATCCTTTGAAGTGCTTTTTTCATGGTAGTGCAACAACAAGACCATATTGGCACAGCGTAAAGCATGGCCGGTCTAAAAACTTGTTTAAATATTAGAAGTTTATTCGTCAGGCAAAGTTTGGATTTCCTGTTTATAAGAGGATACAAACATTTTATATATTTGTTACATTTGGCTTGAATGCCCTCAATGTGATCTTTAAAAGTTAATTTTTGGTCAAGTATTAATCCAAGATATTTCACTTGGTTTGACCAGGAAATTGGAACTCCGTTCATAGTGACTATGTGACTACTACTAGGTTTCAAAAAGGAAGCTCTGGGCTTATGTGGAAATAGTATAAGTTGAGTTTTGGAAGCGTTGGGAGAAATCTTCCATTTTTGTAAATAAGAAGAGAAAATATCTAAACTTTTCTGAAGTCTGCTGCAAATAACACGAAGACTTCTTCCTTTAGCGGAAATGCCTGTGTCATCAGCGAACAAAGATTTGTGGCAACCCTGAGGCAAATCAGGGAGGTCCGAAGTGAAAATGTTATACAATATAGGCCCAAGAATGCTACCCTGAGGAACTCCTGCTCTAACAGGTAGTCGATTAGATTTGGAATTTTGATAATTTACCTGCAGAGTTCTGTCAGTTAAATAATTTTGAACTAATTTCATAATGTAAAGTGGAAAATTAAACTTTTTCAATTTAGCAATCAAACCTTCATGCCAAACACTGTCGAATGCTTTTTCTATGTCTAGAAGAGCAACTCCAGTTGAGTGGCCTTCCGATTTGTTTGAACGAATTAAATTGGTAACTCTTAAGAGTTGATGAGTAGTTGAATGCCCATGGCGAAATCCAAACTGCTCATCTGCAAAAATTGAGTTCGTATTGATGTGAAGCATCATTCTATTCAAAATTATTTTTTCAAAAAGTTTACTTAT